AATGAATGACAAAATCAAAGTCATTGTTCTTTGGTGAAGAGGAGTGCTGCCTGATGGCGGAGGGCGGCGCACTCCGAGCGCGTGGAGGCAGGCGGGCTCGCGGTGTGGGTGCCTGCGGGTTTAGGCTGCAGCACGAGAGGACCCTCCTCACGAGTGAACCACTCCCCCGAGAATGCAGCTGGGCCTGCTGTGTGTGCCTGTGCAGTGGACGCCGTGCGTCTGTGTGTCCGTCTGCCTGCGCCATGGGTGCCGTGTCTACACGTGTGATGGGGGTGTGTGCAACGGTTGTCTGGGTGTGTGATGTGTATGTGATGGGATGTGTGCTATCTGTGTGTCTGGGTGTGCCTGGGTGTTGGGGTGTGTGGGCATGTGCTAGGTATGTCTGGGTGTGTGGGGGTGTGTGTGGGCATGTGCTAGGTGTGTCTGGGTGTGGGGGTGTGTGTGGGCATGTGCTAGGTATGTCTGGGTGTGGGGGGGTGTGTGGGCATGTGCTAGGTGTGTCTGGGTGTGGGGGTGTGTGTGGGCATGTGCTAGGTGTGTCTGGGTGTGGGGGTGTGTGTGGGCATGTGCTAGGTGTGTCTGGGTGTGGGGGTGTGTGTGGGGATGTGCTAGGTATGTCTGGGTGTGGGGGTGTGTGTGGGCATGTGCTAGGTGTGTCTGGGTGTGTGGGGGTGTGTGTGGGCATGTGCTAGGTGTGTCTGGGTGTGTGGGCATGTGCTAGGTGTGTTTGGGTGTGTGTGGGTTTGTGTGGGCATGTGCTAGGTGTGTCTGGGTGTGTGTGGGTGTGTATGGTGGTGGGTGTGTCTAGGTGTGTCTGGGTGTGTGGGTGTGTGTGTGGGCATGTGCTAGGTGTGTCTGGGTGTGTGGGGGTGTGTATGGTGGTGGGTGTGTCTAGGTGTGTCTGGGTGTGTCTGTGTGTCTCTCTCTTTGTGGGAGTGTGTGGTGGTTGTGTCTGGGTGTGTCTGGGTATGTCTCTCTTTGTGGGGGTGTGTGGTGGTTGTGTCTGGGTGTGTCTGGGTGTGTCTGTCTTTGTGGGGGTGTGTGGTGGTTGTGTCTGGGTGTGTCTGGGTGTGTCTCTCTTTGTGGGGGTGTGTGGTGGTTGTGTCTGGGTGTGTCTGGGTGTGTCTGGGTGTGTGCTGGGTGTATGTTCTGGGTGTGTCTGGGTGTGTCTGGGTGTGTGCTGGGTGTATGTTCTGGGTGTGTCTGGGTGTGGCTGCAGCAGGGATAAAAGCAGAGCCCAGCAGGGTGGGGGCCTGAGGGGCAGCTCCAGCAGGGATTCCCCAGGATGGTGAGAGGGAGGGAAGCCCCTTCACAGTGAGCAGGATTGGAGGTGATGTCACCCCCAGGCCGTCCTTCTCCTGGGTCCCTGTCTGAGCCTCCCTTCTGTAGTAAGGATGGCACAGCTGGGGCTCGGGCACCACGGTCCTCTGGCTTCACTGGGGCTGTGAGTCCTGGGAGGGCAATGCTGAAGGGCACTGAGGGGCCTCGGTCATTTCGGGCTGGCAGGTGACGCATTGACCCCTTTTTTGCAGGCAGCTGGGAGCAGCGTGGGCCGTAGCACAGAGTTTGTTGGTTTTCTTGCAGTGCTCTTTATTTTTCTTTGATAAGAGATCAACAAACACCCATGGTATAAATCTTAGAAAATGTTGAAAAGCATAAGTAGAAACATAGCAATGACTCACAATCCCAACTCCACACAGGAATTAATGTCTCAGGTCTGCCCCATATGGCTGTGAGCGTTGTTCACTGCACAAAGGGGCTGCAAGAGGAGGTGGTTTCAGCCTGTGGTCCACTCACCAGGCCCTGTGGCCAGAGGGGGCTGCATTCCCCTGGGCTATCCCAGGAAGGTGTCGCAGGGGCTGCATTCATTTGGGTTAGTTTCTTCCGGCACCTCTCCAACCATAACACCACCCAGACTCGCCCATGTGTCTCCTTAAATGCAGCAGGTCAGGTACGCACCCTGCTTGCAGCCGGCCTTGCTCACGGGCAGTTGCTTCTTGCCCTGTAGAGATGGCCCACAGTCTGTTGACCCCACTCCCCATCGTTAGACATCACTCTGTTTCCACGTGCTCATTACAACAAATTCTGCTGTGGCAAATGTCCCTGCACATGAGTGTTTTCACTGTCCTCAGTACTGCATGGGGACAGGTTGCCCAACACCCTACTATGGGATGGCAGGGTGCAGGCTTCTGGGGCTAACTAACGATAGGTGCCACTGAGCCCCCGTGTCGCTCGGGACTCGCCAGAGACACGGCACAGTGGGAGATGCAAGGGCGCCACGGGATCCGTAGGAGATGCAGAGTGTGTGTATGTGCATGCGCGGAGAGCGGTTTATTTAAGGAGCTGGCTCACGCAACTGTGATGCTGGCAAGTCTGAAATCCAGGGGCAGTCAGCAGGCTGGAAACCCACGCAGGGTTTCCATGCTGCAGGCTTGATGCTGAATCCCTTCTTCCCTGGAAAACTTCAGTGTTTGCTCCTAAAGCCTTCAGCTTGTACTCGATGCACCCATATCACGGAGAGTGATCTACTTCGTTCAGTCTGCTGGTTGTGGACGTTAATCCATCTGTAAAATACCTTCGCGTCTACACTGGTGCTGACCAGACAGACTGGGCTCCCTAGCCTGACCCAGCGGACATCTGCACCGACCCTTGCAGCCATCTAAAGGGTGTTCGTACCCACCCACACGCCTGCAAGTGTCAGTCTTCACACATCCGCACCTGCGCGAAGTGTGGGATTTGCTGCTTTAAAAATAGTGACATGGGGATCTTGTTTAAAAGCACATTCATTTGATGAGTAGAGAATTTGAGCTTTATTTCACATATTTCTAGGTCTTGAAAAATTTGAAGAGCTCAACGAGGTCATGCCTCCGTGGTGTCCTTGGGCTTGAGAGGAGGGAAAGAGGCACTAGAAGGTGGAGGCGGCGGGTTGTGTGTGACCCTGGACACTCAGGCAGCAGTCATGCTAGTGTCTGGGCCCAGTGAGGCCTGGTCCTCAAGGTCTGGGCTCCAGCCGGCCTCACTTCCAGGCCCTCCTGCATCTCTGCAGACCCAGTGAAGGGCTCGAGGCTTGCAGGGCAGCAGCAGGGGTGGGGACTATGACCTGACAGATCTGGGCTCTGGGCTAGGCCAGAGGCTAGCCAGCTAAGTGGCTTTGAGCAGGTCCTCACCTCTGTCCCCAGCCGTGTGGGGGGTGGCAATGTGCTCCTGGGGACAGATCTGCAGGTCCTCGACAAGTAGCCATGGACCAGGCGGAGCTGTTCTCTCCCTCCTCCTGGGGTTGCTGTGGCTCCTGGTGTGTGTGTCCTACCTGGCAGGTGGCAGGCATGTGGGACCAGCTCCAGCACGTCTTGGCTGTAGCCCTGAGTCCTTGGAGAAGTTGCTGCACCTCTGTGAGATCCAGATCTGAGAGCTAGTAGGGCAGTTTGGGGCTCACCAGTTTGGTGGGGCAGTTGAGAGACAGCACGGGGCTGGGCACAGACTGCAGGCTTCACGAATATCAGTCTGGCCGCTGTTTCAGAGAATCAATGATGGTGAGTGCGAGATGCCCAGGGCATAGTAGGGGCTCGGCAAGCCTAAGCCTCCACTCCCTCCCCCCATTCATCTCCAAGCTCATTCAATTTGCTGTTAAAGTGGTTAGAAGGGTTGGGTCTGCTCCTCTAATGCCTCCTAACTGATTCAGATCACTCAGGCAGTTGCTCCATCATTAACACAGATCATCGCACTCTTTAATCAACCACAGAGAATATTGATACTCCAGGCACTCAGCTTGGAGTCGAACCACAAATTGACAGTGATCTGGCATTTGCCAAAAGCTCACTTGAGACATTTGGCATCTTCGGGGCGGCCAGTACGCAGCTCATGCTGACTATTCATCCCCGGGGAGCGCACTCAGCGTCCCACATACCTGCTAGCCCTGAAATGATCGTGAAAGTCTCCTGATTCCTGCACGTAGTCCAAATCACTGGTGCATGCGTGTGTGTGTGTGTGTGTGTGTGTGTGTGTGTGAGAGAGAGAGAGAGAGAGAGAGAGAGAGAGAGAGAGAAAGAGAGAGAGAGAGAGACTTCAGTTTCTTTAAATAACAATAAGCTTTACGCGGAGGAAAGGGTACAGGTGCAGATTCACTGGGGCAGGCGCCATCCTCATGAAGTATGACCCTGGATCTCTGTGTTCTCCAGCACTTCTTGGAAAACCAGGTCCCAGGACTTCCCTTATGGGGCATTGCCGGGGGCAGACACAAGACCATGAAGACACTTGGCTTTGAGCAGGTGCTCAGTTAATACTTGTTGGGGTCTTTCCTCTTCTTTTATCTCAATTTCTCTTTAAATTTTATTAGGTTTTCATCGAACAAGTAACCCACGAACACATCCTCACTGTAAACAATCCAAAGTTTGCAGGGAAAGCTCAAGACCTCCTCTCCAGGGCTCACGCTTCTATCTCTTTGGTGCGCACCCTTCCAGACCCTTCTCTGTGCATGGGCACAGGTACGTGTGCACCTACGGGAACGTGGAGTGTGCGGGTGCCTGTGCCCTTGCTGGCACTCATGCTCGTGCATCATACGTGTTGCCATACAGCTGCCCTGTCCCGTGAGCACTGTGTCTGGGAGCTCCTTCCCACCAGGGCTACAGACCCCTCCTTCTCTGTGGGAACCATGCCCGATGCCCTGTAGGATGGCTGGCCGGGGATTAACTATTGAGTAGCTCCCCCCAGTGTTGGGCACTGGACGATTCCTGGCTTTTGCGGTTATAGGCTATGCTGCGGTGACCAGCCCTGGCCCCACCCCTGGGCACAGACACGTGGGGCTCGGGGACAGACATGGAGACCGAGGGTTGCAGAGTCGCTTCCTGAGTGGTGAGAGATGCTATCGTCTGTCCTACCAAGTACCTGTCACCGTGTCTGCTCTCCCCAAGGACTGGGACCACATCTAACAATGTCACTGCTGTACCCCCAACACCCACTTAGCGTTCCGCAAGTATTTATCGAATGAATGAGCACGCGGAGAAATGGGTTTCATTGAACAGCAATACGCTGAACACCACCACATCTGGTTCGGCAGATGAAATGTGTAGCTGCACGTGTGTCCGGGGTGCTGCCAGGTGGGGTGCGGTGGCTCTAAATAAAAAGAAAAAGAACCTTTTCTGTTATTTCCATATAATAATAAGGCACTTATCAAACAAAATTATGAAGCCCCTTACCTTTTAGCAAATGTTTTGAGACATAGCATGGGCTGTTTTATATCCCCAGATCCAGGACATTAAACACGGTGTTAATGATGTGGTCCCAGGGTTAGGTTAAAGCACCAGAACGAGACGCGCTTGCAGTACATCATCCCGGCTCCAAATGCCTCCTTCCCGGGGCTGTGATTTAATGTTATGTGCCCGGCTTTTATAGAGGGATATAATAAGAAAGATCCATTTGAAGGATGTCACCGTATCTTTTGCAAAACTGTAATCTCGAAGATCATCCATGCTGGGGACACAGCTCTTTCTGAGAAGCACTCGGCATAAATCGCTCCTAATCATTTCGCCCTCCAGACGACGCACAGGCCCATTGAGCTGCCCTGGACACGCCATGTGAGTCTGAACGGGTCCGTCAGCCTCTGGTGACCCCAGTCACTTCACAGTGAGGACAACACGGAGTTCAGAGCTGTCTCCAGACACAGAGGGGCGGGGTTTGGGAAGGAGGTGGGCAGAGGCACTGCAGAAGGGGCCCCAGAACTCCCCCTGGGCCTTTCCAATACGTCAGTTCGAGAGGCGCAAACCCAGCCATGGAAACAAAAGTTCCGTCTCCTTGCTGTGCCCCTGAGGCCCAGCCCCGCTGCCAGGTCTTCTCTGTCCTGCACACAAGGAGAGCGAGTCCTGGGGAGCTTGAGTCACTGCTGGAAGTTGCCTGTCTCCCCGATGGCACAGCCAGGACTGGGACCCGACTCTCTCGCCAGCTTGTCCCTGCTGACGGCAACACCACGGCCGTGGGCAGCACGTCTGCTCCCTCCAGGGCCATCTCAGCATGTTCTGCCCTCACTCAGCCCTGACTCCAATAGGGCTCCGTGCAGGTGGCTCCAGGGAAACGGTGAGCCGGGCAGGGCGCAGTCAGCCAGGGCCGGAGGAGGGGGCGGCCAGCTGCCCCGGGCTTCCAGGAAGGGTCTGTGGGAAAGTTCAGAGCAGCGACTCTGGGGAGCCCCTGAAGGGAGGGGTCGAGGCGTTCTGGACACGGTTTTAATATCATGCACTGTGGCCTCGGGAGCATCCTCTGGGAGCCATTTGCTCTCTGACCACTTATGAGATCTAATGACTTTGGGTATCGATGAGGCAGGACCACCATTGATTGTAGTCTGTATGGGCTCGTGTCTGGTCTCTTGCCCACTGTCAGCCGTGGGGCAGCATGGGGGCCACCAGCCCCCTTTCTGGGCCATGATGCCCTCGGCTTCCCCTCAAGGCCTCCTCCTGCTCTGGTTCTGGGCCACTCGAGTCACAGGCAGCACTGGCCGAGCTGTGTCCAAAGAGAGACGAGCACAGGCCAGAGGGCCCAGCTCAGCTCTCGGCCGCCACCTGCAGTGGCAGGTCCTGGGTGCACTGCTAGGTGCCGTGGAGATGCAAGGAAAGGGCCCAAGTGCGGGAGCGTGGGGCTCCCCCAGGGCTGCTCTGACCCGTAGAGGAAGTCCATCCCCTGGCCAGTGTCCTGGAGAAAGTCCTGCCCACCCACCCCCGCCCACTCATGTGGCCACGCCCACCCAAGCCCCACCCACGTGGCCCTGGGTTTCCTCCTCCCTTTTCCTCAGGGACTGTAGGCATCTAGCCCTTCTGGGGAGGCTCTGAAATGGGTCAAAAGCACAGATCAATAGATAAACTCTGAGGTCACTCCATGTGCAGCTGCACATCCTCCCTCCTGCTGTTCGCATCCCAAATGGTCCAGCTGGGGGCACAAAGCCGCAGAGTGTCTGCCACCGAGCCCTCCTGTGCCAAGGGGGTGATACAGGGCTGCAGCCTCCTATCATTAGGGGCTTAGGCCAGGGGCAATGCCTCTGGCTGGGTCTGCGCCCAGCAAGCCGAGCACTGACTGTTTAAGGGGGAACCCCCAGGGGCTCTGCACCCTTGGCCTCTGTGGGGACTGCTGACTGAGGCTGCCCTGTCCTGGGGGTTCCCTGCCTATTGCCTACTGCACCCTCTTTAGGAGGTCCTGGGGTTAAGCGCAGTGGCCTGCAACCTGGCTGCCTGGGCCTGCTGAGGCCTGTGCTGACGGCCTGGGGGCCGGGACGGCCCGGCCTCTGCACCTTCCTGCTGCCTGTGGGTCTTTGCTTAAGGCCAGGCCGGCCCCCATCAAAGCAGCCAAGGACAGCCCCGTTCTGGACATCTGTGCCCCAACCCGGGGGAATCACAGCTTGCCTGCTGCTCTCTATTGGGACTGCAGCCCCAGGAGGCTGTGGGAGGGAGAGAGGAAAGCCGGCCTCGGGAAGGCAAGCAGACCCAGGCAGGGCGCTCCAGAGAGGCCATAGGGGCCTGCACCCCACGTCCCTTTCTACCTCCGAGAGGGCAAGGCAGTCCTCTCTGCTAGCTTGCGCCCCAATGTCACGTTGGGCCTGTAGGATGTCACCCCCACCTTCCCCTCCTGCAGTTCCATGGGGGAGCTGGGGGATGGGCAGGGTGTCCTGGCTCTCCCTGGACACCCTGAGGAGCAGCAAGGGCGCCCGGCCATGGGACCTCTTGTGTACAGCCGACAGGAATGCGGTTGGTGCCCGGAGACCTCGGAGGAGTGTCAGGAACACCCAGAGCACCTCGGCCAAGCCACCCAGGAGGAGCGAAACTGTGCCCTCCTGGTGCATGTTTCTCACTCCAAATCCATTCTTCTCTTGTCATTTCCCAGTATTCCTGACAAATAAACCAGATATTGGGGCCTCCGGGAGAGCCCAACCAAGAGCATCCCTCTTCACTCCCCTTTGAAATTCCTCTTCTGAGGAATTTCAAAGATTTTAAAATGGAGTGACAGAGGGGCCCTCAAATATCACCTTAATGCTGCTAAGATCACATAGAGGTTTGGCTTTGGGTCTGTTGGGCAAGTGTGCCCACCCCCCACCCCAGAATGAGGATCCTCGGCCAGGACAGTGTCCCTATCGGGACAGGGTTCAGGAGCAGAGGAGTGGCCCGGGAGGTCAGTCTCTCAGGCATCTTCAGGGTGAGACGGTTTCTGTCGTGGAGTCAGGCACTTGGCAGGATGGATCGCCTCCTTCAACCCTCACTCTGGGACTGGTTTCTGTTATCATTCCATTGCGTAGCCAGGAAATAGGCTCAGAGAGGTTACTGTGTTTGCTCAGATCACACAGCCAGTGAGCACCAGGGCCGAGGTTGGAACTGAAGCTGTGGATGTGGTCCCAGGGGCTCTGCTGTGCCCGTTGGCCCCGCTGCCTGGGAGCATGTGCACTCCCGGCACTGTGGCCTCACAGCTCTCTTCCTCTTCCTCCTCCTGCTCTCCAGGAGGAAGGAGCCAGAGGCTGAGGAGGCAGACACAGGGGCACCGGGGTGTCAGTCTCAGGGCTCCTTGAGGAAGCAAGCTGGGGAGGGACTTCTAGGACCCATCCTACCTGTTTCTACCTCTCCCACAGGCCTTGGGCGTAGGCAGGCAGACATTGGAGGACAGGCACTGCTGTCCCTTGGGAAGAGGGAAAGGAGGGAGGGAGCCTACAGTCTTCAGCAGGAGGGTCCTCAGGACACAGAGCCCAGGGAAAAGAGGCCTCCCCGGGAGCACTAAGTGGAACCCCAGACTTCCGTTAGGTCCACTGATGGTGACATTAGCTTCATTAACTGAGACTAAAACCGGAGCATTCACTTCAATAACCAGGAGCTCACAAGGGACATGTCTATGAAACTCTCGACATCTTGTGCTGTGCTGGGTGTGGCAGGACACACAGAACCTGGCTCTTCTGTGACGCTTTCCTGGTGTGGAGCTTGTGACCAGCCGCTGGAGGCTGTGGCCCGAGTGGGTGCCCCCTTCCGATCTCTGTAATGTCCACACTTTCGTGGGTTCCTCCTCTACAGCCCTCAGGATTGGCCTCCTCTCCCCCAGAAGAATCGTGAGGCCTAGGTGGTTTCCACAGGTCGCCACTGCGCTGTGACAGCCACCATGTTCTCTCATGCAGAGGCAAACGCGGTGGTCAGTGGTAAAAGCAGCGCAAGGGGTCCTGGCCCCCCACTTCCCGCTCAGGCCCACAACACCTGCCTGGAGGTGCAGCTCCCTCACCCCTCTCCCTGCACCTTCCCTGACCTGCCGGGTGTGTTTCCTACACTCCTGCCATCCTGCCAAGCCTTCACAGCACCCAGTTTGGCAAAGTGCCCTTTAGTGTGGGCCCCAGGTCCGCACTCCGGCTTCAAGAGCAGCGGGGGCAGCTTGGGCTCAGCTGTCCTGTCTAAGACGCAGACAGGAAGGGGAGGGGCACCTCTTCTGGGAGGCCCAGGGGAGGTGGCAGCCCTGGAGGGGAGGACCATGCGGCTTCCTTGGGGAGCTGAGCAGGAGGGTGTGTTCCGTGCTGGGGGAGAAGGGGCGGCCGCCCACTGCCCTGGCCTAGCAAGAGGCTCTGGTGATAGAAGCTGCCATCAGAAACTCAGGTTGGAAGCCCGAGAACGCTGTAAGCTTTGTACAGTTTCCTGCTCAGCGGGCTGACACTTGCATGGGGAATTTGGCATGATGGATGGGCCCAGTGGGCACCATTGAGAGCTGGGGAGCGTACAGGAGCCAGGGGCTTGGGCCAGCGTCACAGAGCAGATCTAGAGCCTTTCCAACTGGGCCACCGCCATGCCGACCTGGCCCATTAGCACGCACAGATGGTCTCTGCAAATAGTGAGGATGGCAAGAGACAGGCGGGTGCCACGGGCAAGGGGATTGATGGGTCCCAGCAGCACTTTTGGGCACCCGCCAGGCACCAGCCCTGACATGGGTGCTGGAGGCGGAGGAGACAGATGTTCAAGGTGCTGAGGACACCACACCAGCTGCTGGGACCCCACAACCCATTCCACTCTCATCACACCCGCTACGGCATACTGAGGATTCTTCTGTCCCTGCCATGGGACTGTGAATTCACCCAAGTGCGCCAGCTCCAAGCCTCCCCTGCTGTGGAATCTGCACACAGCTGGTGCCACTGGGCCTGGCACGAGTGAGTCTTCGTGAATGTTTGCAGACTCGAGCTGAGCTCAGGGTGGGGATACTGGGATGCATAGTGGCCCTACAAATTCATTTCCACCTAGAACCTCAAAATGTAAACTTATTTGAAAATAGGGTCTTTACAGATGTAACTAGTGAAGATGAGGTCCTACTGGGTGAGGGTGGCCCTAAATTGGTGATTGGTGTCCTTGTAAGGAGAGAAGACACAGGGGAAGAAGTCCATGTGAAGACAGAAGAAGGAGTCGAAGTGACGCAGCCACCAGCCAAGGAAAACCATGGTAACCGCTTGCAGCCCCCAGGGGCTAGACAAGGGGCCTGTGACAAACCCCTCTCCACAGCCCGCAGGAGGAACCAGCCTCATTCTGTCTGCAGACTGGGGAACCAGGAAAGCCCACGGTGCGGTTCAGACTGGGTCTGAAGGTCCGAGAACCAGGGGATGGGTAGTGTAAGTTCCAGTCCGAGGATGCAGGCCTGAAACCTGGGCAGGGAGGGGGAGGGTGTGGCACGGGTGCTGGCACATGTCCTGGAGTCTGAAAGCCGAAGACCTTGGAGCTCTGATGTCCCAGGGCAGGAGAAGGTGCCCCCCTCTGCTCAAGAACAGTGGGTGTGCCCTCCCTGCACCTCTTTGTTCCATCCGGGCCTCACAGATTGGACGCTGCCTTCATCAGTGAAGGCAGATCTGCTCTGCTCGGTCTGCTGATTAAATGGAAATCTCTTCTGGAAGAACCTCGCAGACACACCAGGGTAATGCTTTTCCAGCCACCTGGGCATTCCTTAGCCCATTCAAGTTGACACGTAGAAGTCACCATCACAGCAGCCTGGCCCTGGCCACAATTGCTATCAGCTCTACACAAAGGCCCCCAGAGAGGCAATGTCTCACCAGCACCTCACACTACTCAAACCTGCTTCAGGACACGGCTCCAGGCCCTGTCCCACAGGAGCTTCCTGACCAGGTCCCACCCTGATGCTCTGGGCCTCCATGGTGACTGCACACCTGGTGGCCAGGGAAGAGGGAGGAGGTCAGGAGTTCTATCTGTGGCTTGTTCAGATCGAGGGGCCATCAGATGCCCACTCACAGCTGTTCAACAACAGCTGGGTTAGGAGCTGGGACGTGGGGCAGCCTCGGACCTGAGCTCTCTCAGTCCTGCATGTGGTCTTTGAAGATCAAATCTAAGGGCGTGTCCGCTGGGGACATACTTCACTCAAACCCTATTTTCTGCTCACTGGAAATTCAGAGGTAACTGGTTGTCCTGCATCTTATATGGTGACCCTAGCAGGGCCCAGAGGGAGATGTCAGTAAGAGAGATTGGGACAGGACAGAAGCCCCCTGGCCTTGTGGCAGAAGGGATGTGGGGCCAGGCAGGGGGCTGGGGAGGCCAGAGGGTGGTCGGTGCCAGGCTGAGCGGGGCCATGGTGTGAATACACACTGTGTTCTCAGGGACAGCCAGTCATTCGAGGACCAGGAGGCAGGGAGGGGCAACTCTGAACTTACGTTTTGCGAAGGTCACTCTGGCCTCGGGTTAGAGGAGAAACATGAATGTGGGGAGCAGGGGAGGTGCCCAGGAGGGCAGCGGGAGTCCAGGGAGGAGGCTGCTGCGTTCACTCATGGGGAGAGCGTGGCGGGTGCCGCAGGTGTGGCAGCAGTGAGACCCTTGCAGCTGGTGCACCTGGGGGAAGCAAACAGAGATCACATCTTGTCCCTGTTTCTGACTTGTGGAATGCACTGTTCAGATTTCAGATGAGGAGCGAGAGACTGGCCCAAGAAAGAGTCCACTGGAGGAGAGAGACCATTTCCTAAAGCCAGTCGGTGCGTGCCCAGCCCTAACAGGAGGAGTCCCAGGGGCAGAAGCCACCCCAGGGTGGAGGAGGAGGGGCCTGTCCCAGGAGACCATGTCCTGACCCACACGGGCGGCTCTGCCCCTCTGTCCCAGAAGCTCCGAAGCCACAATAAGCCACACCTGGGGGCGGGGACCTCGGGGCTGCAGTTTTACACTGACTGGATGTGTCCCACTCGGCTCCCTTGTGTAAGCCAGACATTCTTCTGATTCCATTCTTTTTTATACAAAGAAAAAGTCTCATAAAAGGGCCCAAAGCCACAGCGATTCGTCTCCAACTCATTTCAGAGTTTCAATTATCTAAATTATTGCTTTGCCCCGGCACAAAAAGAAGAGGCTCTATTTTTAAAGTCACTGGGAGATAAGTGCTGGGTTGCCTCCCCTGTCAACAATGCACAGAATTTTGATCAGGAATGCATCACGTTCCAATGGCAGCAACAATGGCAGCGACTGGGGTCCCCGGGGATTTTATTTTTAGCCTAAAAATCACAAAGGAGGAGCCAGGAGGAGATTTCACATGGCAGCCTGGGCTTTTGAATGTCGCTTCTGCAAGGCCAGCCAAAAATCATGCTTGGCTCCCAGCGAGTGGGGAGAGTCTGTGTGGGAGGGCGGTTGGCTGGGGCGGGAGGAGCGGCCTCCAAGAGCTCCCGCCAGCAGCCACGGTGCCCTAGGAGCTCCCAATGGGCCCTTGCAGGGTCTCTGTGGGCAGGGGCGGGGTCTCCAGCTGAGCTGCCAGGGCTCTGCAGGAGTGGGAGCCAGGCAGGGGTGCCAGGAGGCTGGAGGAGCTACATGGCCTGTTGTTATCGGAGGAGGCCTCAGGGGTCATCTGCTCCTGGGGACATGGATCCCTGCCCCGAGTTCTGCCTAGATGGGTGCAGATGGGAGCAGGAAAGGGGACGGAGGGTGTTCGGGTTGGGGGGACAGGTGGGATGGCAGAAGCAAAGGCCCTGAATGAGCAAGGGGGGTATGTGACAGGAGCCTAGCACAGAAGGGGTGAGGAGAGGAGGAGGTGAGAGGAGAGGGGCAGAAAGTGGGGTTGCCCACAGGAAGGGGCAATAGATTTGGAGCCACAGAGGCAGGTGAGCAGGGGAGTGGCCAGCCAGGCTGTGCTGGGCCTTTGCCTCGGTGATGCTGGACCACTGGGTCCCCAGAGGAGATCAGTCCCAGGGCCGAGGGTCAGCCCAGGGGCACTAGCCGGCCAGCTAGGAAGCAGGGTGAGTGCAGTGCTGCCTGCCCGTGCTCTCTCCTGGTCGGGCTCCTAGGGGCAAGAGAGGCTTCCCTGCTGAGTGTCAGAGCAGGGCTTCCTGGGAGGGCACTGAGGCTCACAGGCTTTTCAGGAGGGCTTGAGACCCAGGCTCAGAGCAGGCTGGGCAGGGAAGCTGTCCAGCCAGACTCCTACCTGTGGAGGGCCCTACCCCTGCCCAAGGAAGGCTGGAAGCTACAGTTTGTGCCCTAATGGTTGCTGGCTCTGAAGACCAGCTATTGGCACTGCCAGGGGGATCAGAATAGCCTACCCTCTGGAGTAACTGCTCCCCTGGACACCAGTGTCCCCAGGATACTAACCTGGTTGTCTGAGCCGAGGCAGGTGCCCACGTCCTAACTACAGAGGTTGAGAAAGTGGCTCTGTGTGCCTGACTTCTGCATGGGACAGGGGCGCAGAGAGGGCCTGGGTGCTGACAGCCAGCAGCCCCTGCAGGTGTTGCTGCCCCTCTCCCGGTTATCATGTCCCTCTGCTGCCCCTTTGCCCTGAGCCTGGGACAGGATGTACTGGGCTGGCAGGAGGTAGAGGGAGCCGGGGCAGCTTCCTGCAGGGAAGGTGGGAAGGCTGAGCTGGGATTGGCTCATGGGACAATTTGGCAGGGGTGGTCCCTAGCTGTCCAGTACCTGGCCTTGAGTCGCTTTAGGTCAAAGACCTAGTATCCTTGGTTGCAGGAGCCTGAGGACAGCACATGGCTGTGTCGGGAGAGTGTTTCTGTCTCCAGGGATGGGCCACAGAGCACAAGGATACTGTAGAGAAATCAGCCCAGTGTACTGGCACTCCTGCCTCGTGCAAACGCAGCGGTGGGACAGGCAATTGTCCCCCTTGCGCCAGCCAGCGTGTGCGCTATTGATGGAGAGATTTCCTGCGACTTACATCTGAGATGGCTCTTGAAGGTTTGCTAATCCTGTCCCCTGGTGCGTAATGCAAGCTCCGCGGCAGGTTCTTCCATCCCTCCAGCTCCCTACTCACCTCTCGGACCCCCACTTGGGGGTCTGCGCCCACTTAGTAGTGCAGTAATTAGCTGAGGGAGCCACTGGAGCTCGGGGTGTCTGGCCTCTGGGTGGGGCACAGGGTGGGGCAGGACCCTGTGGTCACGGGGACAGCCTGGCCAGGCACTCTGAGCAGCTCTGGGCTGCATATGAATCACAGGCTTAGTAGTATGACCAGCTAGAGCTCAGATTCTGGGGCTGTGGCTTCTGAGCTGCGACCTTGGGCATATCCTCAACTTCCTGGCTGCAGGGACTGCTTTTACTTCTGGTTGTGCACAGGTGTCGGTGCGCAGGTGTGAGTGCACAGCTGTGAGTGTGCAGGTGTGAGTGTACACAAGGTCAGCTACACACATGGGCTGCCTTTCACAGAGTCTAAGACACTCAGATTTTAAGCTGCACTGTTATTCTAGGTGTTACTAGAAAGAAAAGACTGCCAGTTAGATTGTAAGGCACTGCTGACTGTAAGACATATCCTTGTTTCAGAGCTGTTCACATGTGAAGAAACGTGTTAATCAACTGGGGAGCAGACATGCAAATGAGTTAGTTTCCAAAGCAGTGTTGAAATTTCTGGGATGGAAGATGGAGCAAACATGCCTGTGCAGTCACCAAATCCAGAGGTAGGATCGATGGGGTGAAGTTATGGGCGAACAGACCTGCTTGGTGTGAGAAACAGTCTCTGGGAGTCAGAGATGTTTCACAGTGAAATGGTGGCTTTGTAAGGGAGTGAACTCCCCAGACCCTGAGAGTGTTTAATCCAGGCTTAGCGGGGCCCAAAGAACTCAAGACCTGGGCAGAGACTGCCCTGAATGCCGTCTGGCCCCGTTCTCCATCCTGAGACGCAGCTCTGTGGAAATGAACCTCAGCTGGGGGACGTGGGCAGACCAGACGGTCCCTCAAAGTCCCTTTGGGCGACAAGTCCCTAGCACCGAGAGCTCCCTGTGGTGGTCTCCCTGGTCTTGCTGGTGGCTGCAGTTTAGACTGAGGTGTGGGTGGCTCATGAAGAGACCTGGGAGCTTACTGGGAAGGACCGAGGCTGCTTCTGCCCAAGGAAGACAATCGCTGATTGCTGGTTCCAGCCCGCAGGGCCTGTGTGAAGGCAGAGAGATGCAGGGATGAGAGGACCCGGAGGAGAGAGAAGCTTCCAGAAGGCAGCCTGCCCCAGAGACTCCTGGACCCAGGCCCTGGCTCTGTGGGGCCCTGAGTGATGGGTGGGGAAGCCAAGACCACCCTCGCTGGTGGCCCTGTCTTTAAACAGGTCTGAGTGAGGCCATGGATAGGGCTGTCCCCACCCATGGGACCACCTGACAACCAGCCTGGTCTGTCCCTGCCCACAGCTGACCTTGGCGGTTGCATTAGGCCAGCCTGTGTTTCCTCCCCACGTCCAGTTCCTGGTCCGCCTTGCTGATTGCTCGCCTCTGACCTGAACACACCGGTCAGTCCCGTACTTCTGCCTGGCTCTGTCACCATCCCCTCAGACAAGCAGTGCGTAGCTGCCACTGTGCCGTCCTCAGGCCCTGCTGTGGGTCAAGTACGATGCAAGGAGCCCAGTACACACTTTCGCTTACTCTTGGTGACGTCACAGTGAAGGGAACATGACAATGCTTGCTACACCAACGGGGAAGCCTGGCTCCGCGGGGTTAAACAGCGGGCCTGTGTCCACCAGCAGCAGTTCCCTAGCCTGCCCCAGCTCTGGGGTGACCAATCCTTGGCATCCTTGGCTTGTGGGTGGGTCACTCTGATCTCAGCCTCTGTGGTCACAGGGCCTTCTCCCTGTGTGTGTCTGTCTTCTCTTCTTACAGACACCAGACATTGGGTTTAGGGCCATCCTAGTCTAATATGATCTCATTTTAACCAGCTACACTTGTAAAAACCTATTTCCAAATAAGGTCACAGCCTGAAGTTCTGAGTGGCTGTGAATCTTTGGGGGACACCGTTCAACTCAGTACAGCCTCCCAGACGGTTCTGCCGTCCTGGGATTTCTCAAATGCCTTCTCCCACGGTCCTGTGTCCTCTCAGGTCAGCATTCAGGGACCCAGTTCCCTATGGTACCCCGGTCAGTGGTCACAGCCCAGCTTAGCAGCAACTTGGCTCCATCCCTGAGGGTGATTGTCTTGGGGACACCAGGACACAGGGCCCCAGGATTATGTCTAAGAAATCCCCATAAAAAAGAACTAATGTGAAGCAGATGGGAGGGGCAGGAGGAAATGGGTATGTTCACACCTAATGGGTGCAGCGTACACCTCCTGGGGGATGGGCACGTTTGAAGTTCTGACTTGGGTGGGGCAAAGGCAATACAGTAACCTAAACATTTGTACCCTGTACTATGCTGAAATAAAAACAAATAAAGCAAAAGGAAAGAAAAATAGAGTAGACTAAAAAAAAAAAAAAAAAAAAAAAAAAAAAAAGAACTAATGACAATGGTTGTTATTTCTGGGACCTGCCGTGGGGGCTGTCTGATGACATGACAACTGGAGCAGGTACCTGCCCCTGGACCCCCACCCAGAGGAGAAGGCTGCCGAGGGCACTTGGGCAGGCACAGGAAGCGCCCTCGGTCACCTCTGAGCTCTGGGATTCCAGTCAAACCAGGACTGCCCCAATAGCCCCCTGCCAGCCTCTCCCCATCTGAAAAGCTCAACTGTGCTTATTCTTATACCCGTGATAATAGCAGCCTGGATTATAGCTGTTCTACTTCTCAAAGGCATCTCCTCACCAATTGTCTCTCTCACCAGCCCTGGGGGAGGCGGGGAGGGAGCATTGCTCTGGGTTCCAGCAGAGGCACTTGTGCCGCCCTGGGGCTCGCTGCAGGCGCCAGCTCCGACAGGCAGATGGTGGCCGTCTCCATAGCATCCCCAGCTCCTGGGAAGGCAGAGCTAGAGGGACAGTCATGTTGTGGGGCTCTGACCTCTCAGTCTAACATCTTCCAAGCCCTGCTGCTCTCTCTCCTCGTTCCTTGTTTTGGAGAAGGGACCTACAGCCAAAGGTGACTCTCTGATCTGCTGAGGAGAAATGGAGACACGGGTTTGGGCTGGATGACGGGGAACACGCATCTCAGAGAAGGGCTGCCTCGCCACGGCTAACCCCACACACCCGCTCTTGGGGGTAGCCGTGGGGACAAGGAGCCTTGTGGGGCATTGGAATAGAGACGAGTGGGTAAGATGAACACTCTCCTCTTCCTCTCCCAGAAAGAGGCTGCCCCAGTGCACAGGGGCCTGCACCCCTCTCCTCTGTGACCCTACTTCCTCCTCCCTGAAGAGGAAACCCCTCTGGAAGCCCCTTTCCCGAGGTGCCCCTGCGAGCCTTTGTACCTGCGCGTGTGCCCCTGCGCGTGCACTCCTCCCCCACCCATCGCCCACTAGCTGGCCGGCCCCTCCCGAGCCTCACAGATTTTGACATCGTGCACACTCTTCAAGGCACCCGTGCCCAGTCCCAGCTGACACCTGCTCCCGGCAGCCGGTCCAGCTGAGGAGGGGCTGTCAGGCCACTGGCCCTGGGGGAGGCCTTGGAGGGGCTAGCCACCCCCATCAGCAAGGCAGCTGAGTCTCCCAGCACCCCAAAGCTTGGGAAAGGGTCCAAAATACTTTAAGTAACCCCCCAGAGGGAAGGGAAGGCAAAGGGTGGGACAAGGGGGTCCTGCAAGCCCCAGTGGGACCCCCAGGACTGGATCTCGGCCAGAGCACTATCTGCGCTGGGCAGTCCAGCTGGTTTCCTGGGTGCCCACCCTCCCTTTCCCACCTGCTGAATGGGAGTGCCGACCTTTCTTGACCCCTGTGTTTATTTCTTAGATGTCATTTTTGAAAATCTGTTATGTGTCAGTCACTGGCATTGGGCCCACAGCCCCACTAGGTAGGTGGAGGGAGAAAACGGTGGCTGTGGTCTCAGCGCAGCGCAGGGAAGCCCAGCCTGCGTCAGGCATAGCCTTCTTAGTTTCTAACCATGAAAATGACGACAGCATCACCCGCAGCAGTGATGGGACATCTCCCCTGTTGTCGAACGCTGGCTCATTCCAGCCCAACACCTCCGTGATGGAGGCGCCATCGCCACACCTCTGGATAGAGTGAACGTGTGCTCACAGGGTGCTGGCACCCACTCCACTGCTGGCCCCAAATCCCACCCTCCTGTACATGTCACAGAGACTGACACAGAGCTGGGGCTCACCAGCCGGTTGGATGCGGGGCCACCCCATCCTCCCCAGTGCAGTCCCCCTGGGCAGGAGCCCCTCATCGCCCTTTCCCTGGCTGCATGGAGGGAAATCAAACGGGTTTCCTTAAAGACCAGCCACATTCCTATGGCACCTCATTTCTTAGTTCCCCAGGCTTTGGAAAGCGGGAGAAAGGGATCCTTGATCCCAGGGAGACAACACCCACTGCACCATGCACACACGTGCGCTTGCACGCGCGCACACGCGATGCATGCTTGGCCGTGGGCCCATGAATTGTTCTCTTTTGCATTAAGAGAAGCTGAAGACCGAGGAGAGGAAATTAGGCGTCACAGGAAAGTGGTGTCTCTTTCCCGGGTAATTACCCACACCTTGTATAATCTAATGAGCTGTTGAGGGCCCGGATGGAACATTTAGGGGAGTTATTGAATGTTTCCTCACAGTTTACCCAGTTGTAGGAATTAATTGATTTACAGGATGAAAGAGTGAGTGAGAGTGTGTGTATGAGTGTGTGTGTATGAGTGTTTGTGCACGTGCCTTTGTTAATATTTTTTTCCTTTGTATAAAAGCAGGGAGGCTGGGCTGTTGGCTGGGTCTGGGTGTTACCCATGCGCATGGCTGGCAGGCTGGTAGACAGAGCTTGGTGGCCGGCGGAGGGTCTCATCTCCTCAAGGTAAAAGGCAAGAAGCCATCCAGGGAGTGCGAGTGTGTGGGGGGTATGCACATGTGAGCACATGCATTCGAACATGACTAAATCCCCGTGTTGAGATTTTTTTTTCATTCAAACTTTCCACATTCCTCAAGCTTTAATTAATCTCATGTCACCTCAGCAAGTTTTACTATATCTATCATGCTATTTTTATTTAAATTTATGCATAATTTTTCTTTAAATTAAGGGTAAGTATGTGGCTACCGTATCACTAAGTAGTATCTGTGAAGTCATAAGTTCGATAAAATTGCTATATTTTCTTAATACACATTAAAGCAATTATGTAGCCTTTTATTGAAAAATTGTCTGTTTGTAACAAAACTTGTCACTTGGCATGATCTCCTCGAACCCTCCTGACATTTTAGAGATGACAAAAGTGGGAGCAGAGAGGGAGGCAGCTCACTGCAGTTCTCAAGGTGGGAAGCCGTGGGGAGCCTGGGTGGGGAGCAGTAGGGTCAGGCCCTGGGCTGCTCGGCAGAGTGGGCTTCCTTGGCTTCCATTTGCACCCTTGCTTTAAAATCTCCCACATTCTACCCCACCCTGAGTCTTCCCAGAGTAACCATGGAGAAGTGGCAGCCTCCCTCCCCTGGCCCTGCAGCTCCCGCCCTCCTGAGTGGTCTTGGGAGGCTGGTCCAGCTCTGCCTCATTTGCCTTGCTGCAGGAGGGGATATCCGGGCATGAGCCACCTCTCCCTGCTGAGCTGAGTGGTCAGAGAGACACATCTATGTCATCATGTCCAGGAGCACTCTAGAGGGATGGAAGAGATAGGACCTGCTACAGTCTGAATGTGTCCCCCAATAGCATGTGTTGGAGAGTTAATTCCCAAGGCAACAGTGGTGGGAGGTGGGGCTCTCCACCAGGCATTTGGGTCCTGAGGGCTTGACCCTCCTGGATGGGCTCATGCCCATAGGAAAGGGCTGCAACTTTGATCTCTTGCTGTCTCTCACCCTCACTCTCTCACTTCTGCACGAGGCCCTCACCAGATGTGGTCCCTTGATCTTGGACTTCCCGGCCTCCAGAATTGTAAGAAATATACCTCTGTTCTTTATAAATTATCCAGCCTGTGTTAGTAGGTTACAGCAGCATAAAATGGACTAAGACAGCCCCCGATGCTGCAACTGCTGGCCAGGTGAAGAGACATCACCGTTGGCACTAACTCTGACAATCCCATTCGATGCCATGCAGCAAGCCGCTCCTGAGTCAGGCTGGGTGCTGGCACATCGCCCCTGGGCCCCAGGGATTCATGGCCTCACCAGCCCCCAGGAGATCCTGGGCTGGCGGTGGGGATGTGGGAGAGGTGCCTTTCACTCTGCTTTCCCATCCAGAGAAACCCTGGTGAGGAGGTCTGGCCACCTCTCAGTCGATTGGGAAACCAGGTCCTGTCTCCTAGAATGCCCTGCTGTGTGGGGGCTGGGCCCCCGTCCCAGGGAGCAGCCCCTGCAAAAGGGGAGATGAAGCAGTGTGGGTGTGAGAAGCTCCTCCTGTGCTTCCTCAGCGGCCGTGCTCCTTGCTTCGCCTTGGCCACAGGCCCCCCAGGGTCTTCCAAGTGGGCATGCTCTGAATAACTTATACAGAAGGACTAGGTGGCCTTCCCTGCACACCTGAGCACTCTGGCCCATAGCCTCTGCCTCAGCCTCAATTCTGGC